ACGATTGCGAAGGTGGAACATAGAGCGAAAGCACTGTAAATTTTATATTTAACATTATTTGTATCGCTACGGCTTGTATATTTGAGCTTAAATTTATGCGTTTGTGAGGTATACTTGATTTTATAAAAACAACAACTCCTTGTTTGGAATATGAATTTTGATCAGCATTCTTCTTGAAGCGATAAAAAGGTTGGATTAAAATCACTTATGAGTGTACGGAGTTCATCAAAATTATTAACAAGTCCCTTAATGTTCCATTGTAGAATTTTAAAAACTTTATTTAATTGTAATGACATGTAAGCAGAGTGGAGGGAGGGTTAAGTTGACATGTCAGCGTCTCCGTCGAGAAGGTCGCTATAGGAATTTTTCGTGAATGATTTATTCTTACCAGCAGAATAATCTGTACTTAGGTGATTTGGTAATTTTCTGTTTTAATTTTTAGTATTTCACGCATCTGTACAAAACGTGGGCATTGTTTGTCTAACGCTGAGTATTGATCATTGCAATTTATGCAGAAACTACGGGTACAGCTTTCAGCATGTGGAGGATGACCACAGTTAGCACAAGATGCAGCACTAGTGCATCTTTTTGCCCTATGACCCAGGCGTTGGCAATTTTTACACCTCATAGGATTTGGGATGTATAGTTCTACTTTACATTTATACCACGCCACATCAACTGTTCGCGGTAATCGATAGCGATCAAAATTTAAAATAATCCTTCCTGTAGGAGAGCTTGTTTTTCCGTCATCATTCAGTTTGGTGAATTTATATACTTCAGTCACTCCTTGATTGCCCATTTCGCGGACAATTTCATCTTCCGGTACATGCTTTAAGCAAGGGGCATAAATTACGCCTCGAACCGAGTTAAGTTCCTCATGTAATTTAGCTGAAATAGCACATAGATTAGCTAAAGATTTGGCCTTTATGAGCTTTTCGGTTGCGCGCGGGTTCCCAGCGAGGACCTGTAAATTCCCATCGCGTAGAATCGAGATGGAGTCGATGTATGTTGTAATGCTATCTAGAGTTTTTTTTATAGCAAAAGGGTTAATTTGGGAAATTGTTATTCTAGCATCGGTTGAAGAAATAACAATATATTTTTTATCAATAGAACTTATATCACTGATTGGCAACACCGGAAAATCGGAATTTTTACTTTTTTTTCTTTGGGGGGATGTGTCACCTAATAGATGAAATCTATTCGACTTTTATCTGGCGGCCCCGGGGCCATTATGCCTTATTGTTGCACGACACTTCTATTAAATGAGAAATCGAAGACGATTCAGTTAGTGTGAGTAATTATTTTTTCATAAAAATGTATTGCGTTTATTAATTGACCTGTTCATGCCTTCGGCGAGGATTTACTAGAAATAAATGAGCAGAAAATACACTTGAACTAATAGAGTGGAACACAAAAAGTCGGAGATAATGATAAAGAAACGTGAAAAAGAAAATATATCACTGAGAGAATAGTTGTTGTAACAACTTGACTACTGGTACAATAATTAAGGTACTAAGGTACTAAGGTAAGGTGTGCTATCTTTTTTTAAATTTTCTAATTGAAGCACTAATGAACGAAGTCATTATTAAATAAAACACAAATGAGGTATAGTCCTATATATAAGAAAACGGTTGCTTCATAGGTTCATATACTTCATATACTATCTTATTTTTTTTTTTTTGAAAATAGGATAAAATCGAATGCCACGCCTATAAAA